CAAGTGTTTTGAAAACTGAGAACGGGAAGCATGAAGAGCAGTGGGAATATGGAACAAGCTACCCAAGAGAATTAAACTGAACTTGAATTGCATTAACCTTCATTGCCAATATCCTGGCTTCCATTAAGAAATGGCTGGATAACATCCCATGATCAATTAACATCCAGAAACTAAATGAACTAGATAGGCTGGATGGTCTCCTCTTGTCTGGAAAAAAAATGATGCTCTGAAGTAAACCATGGACGTCTTAGAAGTAGGTCCGATTTCCTGTGTTCACACCGACTGACTTCAAAGTTGCCAGCATTCATTAAAACAAAGACTATCTTTCAGACCTGCACCTCAGATGTCACAGCAAGACTTTGTATACCCACAAAGAATTACCACCTGCCCCCTGAAATACTGCTTCTTAAAAAATACTGTTTGGCCAATGACCCAAATTTGGAAGATGTCTTTTTATGTCCCCTTAGTTTATATTCAGTTTACTTGCACTGATTGATTAAGCTGACAGATACTTGGAAGCCTTCAAAACTGCTTAAAGTTTTACGCACTAATATAGGCAGGAGGGGAAGAACTTCTCTCAAACACAAGCAGTTTGATTAATGACTTCCTTCCGCTTCCTAGTATTTTATTGCTGACGGTAAAGGAGACAGCTCTTTAGAACTTCTAATATATCATACACAGAGCTCAGCAGATACTGGGGACTGTTCTAACAGGACACCAAGGTGGCTGGGCCGTGATGTGTTCGGTGATAAAATTCCTTCTTAAATACCTGCCTGAAGGAAGTCGAACCAACCCTTGAGAAAACCTTCCTTGGCACACACTCCAACCTGCCACCACGCCTCAAGTCTTAGTATGTTTCTCCTCAGGATTTCCCTGTTCTCCACAGATACGATCAGATTAACACAAAGGCTTCTGTGTCTCAGAATATCATCTCTTGCCTGTCTGGCTCGATGGCAAGGTCTCCGCTTATTAATGCTCTTTCTTTTCAAAAGACTGACAATCCACATGTATCTGCAGTGCCTCACAAAAGTATTCCAACGTTGTCCCATTTTGCTGAATTACAAGAGACACATGTTTCCATCAAGTGATTATTTTTAATCAAGACATGAACGCTGCCCATCAACGACCCCCGACCTACCTGACAGAGCTTGAGCAAAGAAGAGGCAGTGAAAACGTGCACCATCCTGGATGCACCGAAGGCAGTGCACTATCTAAGAAGACTTGCGGCTTCCATACTAGCATTTTGTCTCAGTATTCAAGTTTGGATTACAAATATTTCCTGAAAAACGCACAGAGATCATTGGTAAATCAGGGGATAAGGAGATCAGAGGAAGGGAATGAATACTTTTGCAGGGTGCAATTTAATTCAAATTTGTCATAACGCTTTCACCTTGTGTTGGTGTCGGTTTTCTGCTGGTAATCCTGTTTTCACCTGCAGTACAGAGACATGCTGTCCAGGTGATCTGGAGGCTCTTAATTGATTCTCATACCCTCAGATGTGTGGTGGTCAGAGAAAGCTTGTTTTTGTGGCTGCAATAGACATGAGTCCCATCCAGGGGGTATTCCTGACTTGTTCACTGCACCTGCCTCATGATGTATGGATATTTACAAAGCATCCCTTTGGAAACATGACAGAAATGGGAGATTTGCATCATCATACTCTTCTGCCACGCAAGTGACTGCACTGTTCCACACAGTCCCTCGGCACAATTACTCTTCCTCTACTGCAAAAATGTTAGTGGAGATTTTGAACATGGCCGTCAAAATAAACACTTTTGTCTAGAAATTAAAGAAACAATACCTTTTTAGCAAAATGATGGCTAACTATATATTTGGGAAATAAACTGTCACTGCTAGTGACACAAAAAGTCATCTGAACTCTAGCCCACGAGATTAGAGGGTAGCAAATATTCATAGTGGGACTTCTGGTTTTTGGTTTTGTCAGTTAGCAGCGACTAAATATTTGCTTGAGAATCAGTTCTAAATGGTAAAACAAAAACAAAGAATGGACACCAAGAACTCATTGTACTGAGCATCTAAGAAACTACTGCTCTATGTATGGTTGTCAGAAAAGTCAAGAGCATGGTTTTCAGATGCTGATTCAAGTGTTTTTGACATCGTTTTGATGAAATAATCAGTCACAAGTGTGATGATTCTAGTGACTTTCGCGGTTGCATAAACACAAAATCACCTCAAGTGAGCCAGCTGATTGAGCACGGGTGATGAGGTGATTGGAACAGTTTAAATGTAAAGACTGGGGGAAAATCGCAAAGGAAACACTGCTCTGCTTAGCAAGAGAGTAACATATCCATACACAGTTACTCAGCGTCTGAGGTGCTTAGCAATTTCTTAGCTTTACAGACGAACACAGTGCGTCAATAATAGGTCACTACATGGGTGACAGCAGGTCACGATGTCTCACCAAGACCAATGAGGAGGTGCAAGAGTGATGGTCTGAGCCTCACTGCAGGGCACTATATTGATCAAGTCCTGGGACATTACTTGTTTGCTTTCACGCAGGCTCACCCTTTCATGTCCCCATTCCAGCAGGACAGCACCCATCCTCGTGTCACTTTGGGTCCTAATGCCCCAGTATAGTGACGGGGACACTATACTGTAAAAAGGGCGCTGCCCTTCGGATGAGACGTAAAACCGAGGTCCCGACTCTCTGTGGTCATTAAAAATCCCAGGGCGTTTCTTGAAAAAAGGAGGGGTGTTACTTTGGTGTCCTGACCAGATTCCCCCTTGGCCCTTACCAATCATGGCCTCCTAATAATCCCCATCTCTGAACTGGCCTCATCACTCTGTTCTCCCCCCCCCCAATGAGAGCTGGTGTGTGGGGAGGGTACTGGCTCACTATGCCTGCCGTTGCAGAATCCAGTAGGGGCTGCACACTGGTGGTGGTGGAGGGGCGTCCCCATTACCTGTAAAGTGCTCTATAATTAAAAGGAATGATTATTATTAAAGGCAGGAAACACCCTGGATGGGATGCCAGACCATGGCAGGGCACACACTCATACCAGGGCCAGTTTTCCACAAATTCAGATAAAATACCAGCTTGTTTTTGGACTGTGGGAGGAAACCATAGACGGATGAGGACAAAACCCACAGAAACAAATCAGGGGAGAACCTCCAAACTCCACATAGACAGCAGGTCTGGAACTGAACCCAGGGCCCCCGTGCTGTGAGGCAGCGATGCTAACTGAATTTACCTATGGGATGCTCTTTCAACAAAATGTCAGAGCATCTGTAAGATGTCATTTTTTTCTGTTAGAAATCACGGGAGCTTGTATAGCTTTAATAGTTTTGATGCTCAGTATATACAGTAGTTCCAAAAAGACCACATTGTAATTAAAGTAAACCACTACTGCCCTCTAGGGGTGCAAGATAATATTTTTCTGATAAATTATAGTAGTTCCCACTTTCATTCTATCATTAACATAACAGTATGCTTCAATTTAAATAACAAATAGTTTTGTAACTATTCTGTATGTTACTGTATCAACCTGAAATACACATAATGAGACACTGGTGGAAGAAATACATTGCATTGCAAAACGCCACTGAGCTGGGAAGCACTCGCTGTTTTCATTTTGCGTCATTAGGTATAAACACCAGCATCCATAACTGATAAACTGATGTCTAAACATGCATCATTTAAACATAGCCAAATGTATTGGGATGGTGAAGTAAAATTGGTCATTTTTGCTCTGTATTAATGAAATCTGTATTTCAGATCAAATGACTAATATGAGACAAAAGTACAGAATGTCAGCTTTTGTTTCTGGGTATCATTTTGCACACGTTTAGCTATGTTTGAACAATGTTGTTTGTTGCGTTCAATCCCCCCCATCTCGGCTGAGCATCACAATGTGCTCGCAGTCTGGGAAAGGGTGACATGAAATACAACAGTTCTTGAGGCACCAGGCCTGGGCTGCAACAGGAGTGCTCAAGATTTCCAAATGCACACAAGCAACTGATGACAAGCACATATGGACACATTACACCGTAAAGAAAAATTGAAAATCAGCTCTTTAGCTAATTTTACTTTTGTTGTGAAACCAAATTTACTTTTGCAAATTGGGGGCATCTGATAGCATGAAGTGTGTGTTTCGTAAATACAGAAACCTTCTTTTTGGACACCAGTCATGTAAAACACAGAATGCAGTTTGTCAATCCTCTGCAATCTAAAAGCAACTCTTCAACATACACCCAGACAGGAACATGGAGGCTAAGTTTAAAATCACAAGTGGATAAATCAAACAGTAAGTACTCCTTATCATTTTCCAAATGTTTATTGTGTTTTGAAAGTCATGTCATCCGGATCTGTTCTGTACCCTAATTATTGCTTGAAGAAGCTAGTGAAGGTAACGTAGTAAAATTACAATACAATCCCAATTTTGCGTCAACCCCAGTGGTGAAAATACTACATTCTATCTAGTGATACTACATTTGAAAGGGCAACTAACAACAAGCCGTCTGTTCAAGAACAAGCACGGACAAAGAAAACTTCAATCGCGAGAATAAAAGCGATGGGATGGCTGAGGCAGGCAGGCGATCTCTGTTCAGGTTTACATACGACACTCAGCTACAAGCTTTATAAATTCTTTGGTTGACCTCTTAACTTCGTGCTAAAAACAGCCACGAGATCAATGCACATTACTTACAGACACTGTTAAAAGACTAAGTAAAAAAAGCCCACCTGTGCACAACCTGCATCTTTACCTGACAGGAGGCACCTGTTTTTATTTTGGATTCTCTTACTTGAGTGAATGCAGCAGTGCAAATCCTGCATTTGGCACAGAAGACATTTAATTCGAAAAACTGATCTGCTCTTCAAATTAAAAAACAAGACTTTCAGCCGAAGAATATCAGACGATATCAGCATTTCAAGCGAGCTTCCCGTCACCTTACAACCACTTGAAATGACGCTTTAAGATCCTCCGCTACTTGGTACAGATACATCTCTTTTTCCGAGATATCAAACAAAGATAGTGTACCTCTGATTGAACATTCCTCTGAAGTTGTAGTTGGCTCTGTAATTCGGTATAGGTTTAGGGTCCAGGGGTCTGTAGATGGCAGGCTCTCCTCTCTTCATCGCTAGTCCATTTAACTCTACTGTAGGGGTTATACTGCCTGTGAGTGCATGAAAAAAAAACATTGCAATGCTTTAGATTGATTAACCATGCTTTTTAACTGTTTACTGACTTATTTACGTCTCTTTTAGATCATAAAGACGGTTTTCCATTAAAATGGTATTTTGCCCTCCGTACAGACATCACTGGCCTTCAGAATAAGCATTTCAGTCAACATTATTAAAGCCTTAGATCAAAATCTTGGTCAACTTACCACCGTCAGCACTTCGGAGCTGGACACTTCAGAGGGTAAGTCCTTTCAAGAGGTCTGTCTCAGACTCCTGAAGAGCTTTACCAAGTGTCTGAGAAAGTATTTTACGTGAAAAGAAAGCTCTAAACTCTTGAACACTTGGAATTAATCTGCCGCTGCAAAAAAACTGTGGCTTTTTTTATATGGAATGTACATGCAAAAGCTTAGTCAAAAATGCATTTGCAGGGATCAAAGTCAAGAATGTTTGGGGACTTAATATACTGTATAGAACTTATTCCATTATTCTTGATCATATACTGTACCTGTCAGCTAAAAATTGCTTCATTACAGTAATATCCCGTTAAAATTCTGCCTTCTTCCGTGGTACCAGATATATGCCATCGGTGAACCTAATACAGTGAAATGTGCCCATCACACAAACTGCTCCTGCCCAGAAAGTGTTTGAGCGTTTGGACAATTACCTCCAATTGTATTTACAGTTAACGTCTCTGCTACCTGCAAGCAACTCCCTGCCCTCGTCTACAATGAATGTCACCTGCCTGGAGCGTGGCCAGTCTTAAGTTTTGCCTTTATCTGTTTATTTGAGCATTTTACACCCAATAAATTCAATAAGAAATCTGACATCTCAACTGGTGCAAGACCACAGGCAGAGACTCACAGAGCGACGTCTTAAGAGACAAACCGAGCTGGCTTCAAAAAAGTGGCCGTCACCCTCTAAATGGGCCCAGTCAGTCAGTCGGCTGCCCTTGGAAACAGACACACAGTCTCAAGCGCAACGCTGTCCGCAACCTTCAATACCTCCAACAGAAACTCTCCCCTTCCTGCCCGCGGCCACTACCTGGGTTGCTGTTGGCGTCCATCTTGGGGGGCCGGGGCGAAGGCCGGGGGAGGGGGCTCTCGGTCAGGGCCTTGGAGGCGGTCGAGTGTTGTGCCTTTTTGATGCTGGTTCCCTCGGCCTCCCAGGTCTGCTCTCCAAGAGCCAGCTGCACGGTGAAGATCTGCGAGCACCGGAAGGCAATGCCAGAACGGGGTCAAAAAACATACAGCAGTATCCTCAGCAGAGGGCAACACACGTTCAGTGACCTGCGTCCAGCATTTACACGTGACACTCCAGTGCTGTGGCTGTTGCAGTGTTTCCACACATCTACAGTAGGTGCTTCACACGTTCCGCTGCAAATACAGATGCACGGCTCTCACTGACTACTTTTTAAATATGGTAGAAAATCTGCTTTGGGTGTTGTGCTCCCGGTAAGCAGAAATTGAACGGAAACTTGATTGTACTCAAATACAATTTTTTCAAATCTAATTCTCTGCTACACAGACGAGCGCTCTGAACTCGCGGCTGAAGTTAAATTACAATCACAGTTGACTACACTGATCTAGCGCGGCCCAACCCAAAGGTTCCCACCTACTGTAGGTGACTCATGGCAGCCATTCTACACCAACATTTCAGGAAGAACTGTACAAGCCCAGAATGGAATATAAACAGGACGCCAGGGTAAACACTCCACTGCTATGAACTATGCCACAGGATATGAAATGACCAAACTGGGGCACTGGATGTGGGGAAATGTGGGGCAGAGTGAAAAGCACCATCTACTGGTCCTCCTATACCATTACAGCGGAAACCTCTCCCACCACAGCAGTGACAAGGCCCTGCCTTCCTACACCTGCAAGCTTCATTTACCACTGAGCTATCTCAGCAAGCACACAGAACTCTGGAAATGAGAACACCTGTTGCACAATCTTACAAAAAGGAACTCCTACAAAAGCTGTGGGACATCAGATTCTGAAAAGTAAACCTACAGGTTTGTTCTGCCAGAGGAAGCTAAAGACTTTCGTTTTGCTTGCACTGACGAACACAGGATAAGAAAAGGCAACGTGTAGCGTGTGGCTTCAGAGACATCAGGGCTTCTTCCGTTCGACTGTGTCTGTCGTAAATGAGAGGACATAAACACATCCATGTTTCCACCTTTTCCTTTCAATTAATAATCATATCATTCAGACTAACTCACCACCACACAGGAAACTGTGGATCAGCACATCCTGTGCGCAACCTGTAGTCTCCACTTACAACAGAACTATGAAATTTTCACTTTAAAATGAACACAAGCAAAAATAGATCACTCTTTACTTTCTGTGACAATAGCTTGCTCACAAGTGTAAGCTCTAAACCACAATGCTGAGCAGAAACCAAAAGAATACAGTTCATCAACAAAACAGTTGTTGAAACTGTGTGAAAGACAATGAGATGTGATGGAATGGATTAAATTAATCTTGTAATTTTAAAATTAAAAAAATGCTCATGTTAGCCCTATTTTGAAAAAGAACACGCACTTTGTACGGCAATATTAGTATCCTTGCACATCTTATGGTGCATTCAAAACAAACAGCACATTACATCAAGAACAACTGTTACTTTGGAATCTCATGAAAAAACAAGAATGATTACAAATGAGAGTACATTTGGCTCATCTAGTAGTTATTAAATATTTCACCCAATGATCTCATCCATCTGCTTCTGGAAGGAAGCCAGGGTATCGGCTTCAACAACAAGGCTGTGCAGCTTGTCCTGCTCTCCCATATCCCCTTGGGTAAGTGCCTCATGTTCTCAGATTGAAACATACTTCCACGTGGCTCAGTTCTACCCTCTTGTTTGTATCTCACTGTTAATATCGATGTTCACTGGAGTGACACTGTTAGTGCCCTTGAGAATTTGAAATGCTTGGATCAGATTCCCCGACGGTCTTCTCCATTCAAGACTAAAAAGGATCAAGATCTTTTGCTATTTCAGTCTCCAATGGTGACATCCTTTAATCCTGACTGTTGCGTAACGGAAGAGCTGGGAGGTTAACTCCAGCGTAGTGGGTAAAGTTCATGGTGGGCTTCAATAATCTACCCTCACTAATGCTCCCTATGGTTAAACTGTGCAAGAGGGAAAGAGGTTCAGATGAGAGCTATCATCCTGTCTGAACCTACCGGTCTGTTACACACTAATGAAGCACCCTCTCGTTGTGCAGTGGGACTGCTGGTACATTTTGGGCGCCGAGTGTCAACAAGGTAGTTGCTGTACTTCAGCAGTGGACAAAGTGGGTCACCATATTTATATGATGCTCTCTGGGATCTTTGTGGATTGGCCTTTAGCAATCATTGCTTCCTAATCATCCCCATCTCTGAATTGGCTTCATCACTCTGGTGTGTGGTGAGTGTACTGGCGCACTATGGCTGCTGTCACATCATCCAGGTGGGGCTGCACACTGGTGGTGGTGGAGGGGAGTCCCCATTACCTGTAAAACGCTTTGAGTGGATTGAGTGAAATTAGAACATTTCACTTTCTAATAGTGAAATTAGAACCTCAATAACATATCGACTGGTAGAACAGGACTTGAAAGAGCTATCAACTGAAACATAATAGGTATGAATCTGAAAGCAAAGACTCAATGCAGACACACTAGGATCGCCTTTGACACATTTATCGAGCCTTTAGATTAAAAACACTAATTTAATGCTCTGTGTATGTTGATAGCGCTAACAACAAATGCTAAATTAAAAGATTTTTGCTTCCAGATTTATTTAGGATGAATGAAGCCTGAAACCTTTTTTTTTTGTTATCATCACCATTTCTTAAAACACCAGCGCTTTGTATTCACAAGCCAGAAAACAAGGGGAAAGAAAAGAAAATGGGATGGAAAAGTACACCTAGAAATGCTCTGCTAAATGAAGACTATACCAAAATTTCAGACTCAAAGGAATATATATCGATTTTGAGTCTGAAATAAGGGTTGTTGAACTGCCCGAAGCAATATACAATAAAAGGCACTTCAAGCACACTGCACTTTGAAAACAAGATCTCCATTTTCACTCCTGGGAAAGCCATCGGTATGTTTATACGAGGTGTGCCTGACTATCCCAGCAGAGAGGCACAAACAGCAAAGCCTCTTTGCATCTGCACGGCCACTACCAGAAGACCGGCAGCACGAGCTCCCCCTCTTACCTTGGCATGGGCCGGCCCCCGCTCGCTCAGCAGCTTGTACTGCGGCTGGATCCTGTTGAAACGGGCTAACTCATTGACCAGACACATGGGGGTTTTCTCTTTGGGGTTTGCCATGTTTTCCTGGGAGGATGCTGCGGGAAGAGAAGGAGAGGTCAGCGCTCAGGACCGAAGGAGGACCCTGGGGCCAGATGCCCTGATTTGTCTTCCCTGGGGGTTTTAGGGCAACAAAAGGTGAACATTTTGAAAGGGGGTGGTGACTATACCCACCCTATACCCACTGTACCCAGTGACTATACCCACTGTAGATATTATAGAAAATAAATAATGCCCTGCGCTGACAAGGCAACTCTTAAGTCTTCCTTGCCCAGGTTACCAAAACCTCAGATAGGTCTGGCAATGACTAGTGTCCAGCACAGACTACAAGCTTATGTAGACAACAAGGATAGAAAAAAGTAATGCATAATACTCAGTGCTGTCCTGGAAGGTGACTTTAAAACATTTCCCTTCTGTGTGGTCAGAGAGGCATGCGTCTTTATAAACTGGCACACGCTGAATGAGAACACCCCCAGCTGAAGAGGGCCCTTTCTCGCCCAGCACCAAGGGTTGGCCGATGAGCAGATTCAGCTCACTGGCGGTAATGTATTGATGTGAGATTCTCATCCAGCTATGCGTTTAAAATATCTCAGGGACTCAATGCCTTTGTAAAGTGCTGGATCTAGATGCCTTATGAAATGCTCATACAGAGTGTTATGCACCATCGGAGATATTAATGACTGAAGAGCACCATGGCCACATCAGGAAACTCAAGACTGCAGGCAACAACACTCTCTTTCGCAGGACAACAAAAGCTTAATAACTAAAAACGTTCCACACATAAACCCCCATTATCCGACTGAGGATAATGTCTTTCTTTGATGTTTCGGCTGTCGGCCCCTTGGTTAGAGGGATGAACGTCTGCTACTCTCGCAGGAGACACAGGGGTGACGGAGGGTTGGAGGGGCATTGGCAAGTCATTTCAATTGGTACCGCCTTCTTTTTTTACAGAAAAGAGATCACACACTGCTAAATTTAATTTTAAATTTTAAAACAGTGTATGTTCTAGCATAAATGAACAGAAAATTAGAGCACTGATATCGTGGATTTTGTTTAGACAAACTCCTGCAGACTAGAATACACAAAACAGGAAAAATACTAATTTCGTTTTCTAGACTTATCGATGGCAATTTCCCCTAATACCTTCTCCTCTTGCAGGTCTTTATAATCTGTTTTGCCAAGTTCTTTCTCACAAGGTGTACTATTATCATGAGCCGTTTAATGCTTCAAAGCAAATCAGTAGTCAGAAATGAAACCAGTGAAGTCTGAACATCTGAAATGACCCAACCTATCTGCATAACACACGACTTCCTAACGAGCCATGTTTATTCCTTTCCCCCCAAATGTGATAAAGTTGCAGTGGGATGCCCAAACTTGATTAAAACACCATTTTGCCATGCTTTCTACAGGAGAATTATTTGGGATTTGTAAAATGTAAATCTTAACAACATCCATGTCTGCCAGTTCTGTGGATTTTTGCCATGGTAGGACTGAAATATGTGAAAGAATGGCGATCAGCAGATTCTTCTGTGAGTGAGCCAAACCACTATGACTCCACCTCTGGAAAAGTGCCATGCTCCTTTTCTGATCTACACTTGCCCTGTCCTGCCCCTTCCAAAACTATAGTCCTCTCTTTCACTACTACTCCTCTCTATAAAGCCTTCTTTTCATTAGATTCCGAAAGCAATTCCAGGAATATATCATGGGTACTGTTCCCCTAAATGTTGGATGTCTGAATTGTCATTCTGTATTTATTTGGAATCCAGAGCACGAATTTACTGCCTTCAGGCTCCACGTGGGTGTCTATGATATTGTTTGTTGTAGTCGATTTTTCCAGGTCTGATATTATTTTTTAAATAATCAAAATACATTTTGATTGTCCACAGAACCCCCCATTGCTTTTTAGTATATTACTATGTCTTGTGAAAGTATGCAGACACTTACTATGGTGTCCTATTCTGTGAAATTATAAAATGATGCATACATATTTTCAAACTTATTATTTTATTTAGAACTTGGTTACTCAAACTGAAGATCTCTAAGGGTAAGATAAATTACAGTTAATGTCAGCAAACCTAAAGAGAACAAAGGGAAACATCTTGATCGCTAAAGTATGCAGGACCATGAAATATGTGGCTGAAGCGGCTGCAGGTCTTTTTGGTCAAGTCTCTATCAAAGTTGCACACTGACTTAATGCAATTTCTGCCCATTCTTCAGAGCAGGTTTGCTCAACTCTCTCAGGTTGCTCGGGGATCGCTTTCTGAAAGCACATTTCCAATCTTTCCACAGCAGGATTCAATTCAGAACCAGGACTTGTCCACTCAAGGACATTCCCTCTTATTTGTAAACCCACTCCAGTGCAGCTCTGGACTTGTGCTTTGGATCAGCGTCCTGGTGAAAGGTGAATTTGCACCCCAGGTTTGACTCTTTAGGAGGCTGACAGGTTTTCCTCTAGTATTTGCCTGTACTTTGATTTGTCCATTTTATCTTTCAAAATCTTTCCAGTCCCAGCTCATAAGAAGCATCCCCACAGCATGATGCTGGCATCACGATGCTTGACTGCAGGGATGGTGATGCTGTCGCGGAGATGTGCTGTGTCTGGTCTGTGCCCAATGTAACGTTTAGTGGAGTTGCCCTGGGCACCAGGAGGGGACCCAGCTCTGCAAATATTTTTTTGCCAGCTGGGTAGAAGATGCTTCTTTACCTTCTATACCTACAGCAGTGCAAGTCCATGGATTTGTAATAGACAGATACAGACGTTAGGAGAGTCGTGGATGGTTAATGGAGACATTTATGTCCAGAAACAGAAGAGTAGTGGAAGATATGTTAACTGAATACTTGAGGAATGAGTGGTGAAGTGATACAGGAAATGCTCTAATTGGTGGTTGTGGCCGCACTGACAGAGTCATCAATGTAATGCCTGTAGAGGTCAGGAACAAAGCCGGTTTCTCTTAAAAACCGACAGGAACAGTTAAAAAGTAAACGTTTTAACCAATGGAAAACCAGAAACCAGACAGCGTCACAGGAAGCCTTGAGAGAGGCTCTTCTTGCAGAACAATTCTGCTGCAATTCTGTCCTCTGGTAGACTTCTTTACACAAAGGTCTGTGGGAGTGTGGAACAAGCAGCCCAGCCATGGGGCTGAACCCCGAAACCTCAGCTTCTTTAGAGAACAGCCGAGTGAAATCCATGGATCAATCAACTCCTATTTAACAGGGCAGAAGGGCTTCTAGTTTGTCACCTGTCCGATGTTCTCCGACTGTCCCTCGCAGCTACGCTCGGGACACCTGTTCGGTGCTCTCTCTAGGGAGAACCGCGCCTGGCTCTACCCCTGGGCCGATGCCAACACTAGCCGGTCTGGTTTTCAAACCGAGGATCTTCCTCCCTACCTGGTGGGCTCGCAGGGGCAGCAGAATCCAACAGGCCGGTGGCGGGACTGGGGCAGCTGGGCACAGGGGCTGGAACTGCTCCGTTGACAGAGGGCTGCAGACTGACAGGGCCTGGGCTGGGCACCGCGGCAGGTGGCACGATGGGGGACATGCCAGGCCCGGGCAGGCCGGCCGCCGTCTGCACCTTCACTTGTGCCATCCTCTGTACCTGTAAGCGGAAGACAAAGGCAGACGGACAGCTCGCACTGTTTAGGGGGTCCTCCTCAGCTCACATCACGGCCCCCTGCAGTGCGAGCTGTCCGTCTGCCCTCCAGAGACACGGGGCCGGACTCTCGCCCGCGACGACGCTCCCCGCTCACGGGATTCGCAATACGTGGAGAAGCAGGGTCTGAAATCAGCAGACCTGCTTAAGAATCTGAGGCCAGGAGGAAAACAACAGCTTTTTAGAGCTGTTCACAAGCGGTTGACAGGCACAGAGCCCTGGCACGCCCACACAGCTCCCAGCAGCTCTCTGCACACTCACTAGGGAAACCTATCCACGCTGGCCGACGGAGGAGCCCTGAGCTGTCTGCACTCCTGGTCAAAACCGAGGCGACAAGGCTATCGAGGAGCGTCATGTGATACAGGCCCTTTCACAGCATCTGAAAGAAGCAGGGTCAAGCCTGCAGTCTAAATGTCATTCCTTCACTCCAGAGCATTGATTCACTCCTCGCCATATAAATTCAAGGTCTCTTTCTTAGTAACCAAATACATGGAAATCGGTTCAGTATCTCCCCCCAATCCTAAATATTCAACAGGTCTCTCAAACATCTCTCGAGCTGAAGGGGTCTCAACTCTGCTGTTGCTTTAAACAGCCTTGAAAGACACAGCCACTTAAATTCAAGGTACGGAACTTACATTTCTCCATGCTATGGCGAAAACAAATAGCAGTTTTAACACCTGCTCCATTTTCCAGTGTGAATAATATGCTTGTACGGTGTAAGTTCTCCTAATGAGGATAGACAAGAGCTTATAACTAATAAAGAGCTCTGTGCTGCCATTTTGCCTGTTCCTGCTGTATGGGTCACAACACAGGACCCATGCAGCAGCTACACAGATTTATGTCCTCTCCTATCTATCCTGTAAATGTCCTGTTTATCCAGTGAAGTCAGGGGAATATGCTCAGGCTGACACCCTGGCTTCTTCCTAGAAACAGCTGAAAGAGATCTTCCACTGAGGACAGGAGTCACTTCCTTACACAAAGAGTTGTGGGAGTGTGGAACAAGCAAATCAACCACATTGCTGTCGGAGATGCAGTAAATCCCGGACCCTCATTCTCTCACAGGGGCGACTGATTGAAGTTACACCTGCTGTAACGCCAGGAGGGGGAGCTCTACACCCGGGAAAGGGCTCTGTCAGAGTACTGTGACCCCCGTTTACCGTAACTCTGCGTGCAGAAGGTATCATCGGATTTCATTCACACCACTCTCTGTGGATATTTTAAACCGGGAATACACTCAACCCGCAAAGCCAGGACACGGGACTGGACTACAACAGTGTGCAGAATTAAAAGAACAAAATAAAAAAATGCAATTATTTATTATTTAAAGTTGCACGGTAATGCAGCAGTTACACAAATCGCCGATTCGTTCTTCTGAAATGCTCCCCCTCGCAGTTCAGCTCACCCTTCGGGACTCTGGACAACAGCTACAACGTGCACTTCCCGAGCACCAGTGACAGCACATCTGGACCTGTCCGAAACCGTACGTCACCTTTCGCCACATACTGCAGTGCATGAATCCTTCTGTGCAGTCAATTTCCTAATTATATCGGGTCCACACCGAAAACATTTCCGGCCCTCAAAAAGTTGGAACTAACTTGCTTTTATTCTTTTTTTTCCCCTTCGTACCGCCAGATGATTAAAGTTTTAGTTGCAAGAATCGTAGTCACAGCTGAATACTGTATAATATTTTAACGGTATTCACAGTTGAAAGCTTTGCTGCATACGCTTTAACCTATTTGATCGATAATAAACAGAAAACGCCACAGAAAAGTTTGTTTTTCTAATTGCCCCGCTTCCAACCAAAACCGAAAGAAACGTTTTTTTGTTCCTTTATTTGAAAAAACGTAACAGAAAAGACCTGCACTCCAACCATGCATACCGCTCACAATTATTTCCGACAACCAGGTACGAACTGTCCCTCCCCTCCTCATACACACCCCTGCAACCTTGGCTAACACAGTGCAACACACACACACAAAACGACATGACATTAAATGCACGAACAGGCTGAGCGCCCGGCCGTCGCTATTAAAATCCGCTTCCAGCCGCCCGGTGCCGAGCATCACGCCTCGGTCTGCACGTACCGGCTCGGCTCGACCCGGCCCGACCCCGTCCAGCCCGACTGACAGCGCCGCCCTCCCGCCACCGGGGCGCCACGGCCCCCGGGCTGCATCGCCACCGACCCGCCCGGCGCTGCCCGCGGTGCTGCCAGCTGTTGGCGAGCCCATATCGCCTCGCTGCTGCTGCTGCTGCGCGATTCAACGCAGCACTGGGAGCACGGCAGCAGGCATCATGGCTGAAAAACAGGCGAGCACCCCCGAGCCCCGCATCCGACACCGTCGGCTTCGTCATCGCCGCGGAAGGAGCTGGGACCCGGGCGGATCGCCGCAACATCACTGGCATAACGCTTACACGCTTACAAGCCCCCCGAGGCGTTTCAGCGAGGCGTGAAGTCACATTTAACGTGCGTTATTTTACCTTTTTCCCAGGGACAGAGCCCAGTTACACCTCCAACATTGGCAAACACTAAAGAGAAGAACTGACGGTCACCGGGCGAACCACTTTTATCCGTCAGCGATACCGGCGTAGGGGGTGGGGAGGGGGGCTGAACGGCTCAGGTGCGGGCGATTCCGAACCGTCCGGATTTTGTTTCGATTTCAAAAAAAGTTAGAGGATTCCGCCTTTAACGTGCAATAAGTAACGCCAGGCCAGAAAGTAGACCAACTCACACCCCCCCCCCCTGAGCACTTGGAGTGGTAGAGTCTGGTTTCCTGAGCGAAATTGGACGGCGGTGCAGTTCGGGTCTTCCTGCGCACGGAGCGGCATCGCCGGTGGCAGTGATTAGCAGGGGGCAGAGCCGTTGCCAGAACTACTGTCATGCATGAAAACACGGGCCAGGGTTAAGATCCGCCGGCACCAACGACAACAACAACAAAAAAAAAAAGAAGAAAGGAACAAAATGGCTTATAAGCTTTTCGGGACCTCGCCGGCTGGGCTGACACGTGTTGAGTGGTCTGCACGGACCCGTGAAAAGATCAAGCCGTGGGACCTCGGCATTGTCAAGCGGAATCTGTTCGTGCAAGACCGACTGGGTGCATCCCAGAACAATACATTCCGCCACGTCAAATGATCCGAGGTCTGTTTCCATCCAGTATGAATGTTAGACACTTCCAAATTTAGGAAGGGGGCAGACTACTGAGGGCCCTGTCCTGATTTCTTGTGGGTTTACATCTCCCACCGCCGGCCACGCAGAGTCTGTAGTGTTACACAGCCTCATGAAGTAAAACAAGAAGAGGTTTTGTCCATTAATGCGGCGGTAGATCCTGGACTCGCATTCTCGCTCACAGGGGCAACTGTTTTAAACTACACCTGCTGTACAGCCTGGTGGGGGAGCTCTACAAACTCTGTCAACATGCTGTAAATACCAGTCTGTCGTAACTCTGCGTGTATAAGAGGCCATCGGATTTCATTCACATTACTCTGCGGATATTTAAAAATGGGGTACACACTTATCCTAGCTGTGCACAATAATGAACTGAAAAGTGGGTAAAAATTATGAATTGAACGGGAATTCAATTGGAAGTTACCAGAAGGCCTTTCATAAACTTTCTCATGAACGATTTCTCTAAAGTGCACAGAATAGACGTGCATATACCTGGATTAAGATTTGCTTAATGCAAAGGAAAATGAGGGTACAGAATTTGGGTGATTACTCTTCCTCATTTATATCCATGATCTAGATTCAGATAAAGGTAGTAAACTAATCAGTTTAATAGATTACATAATGTCTGCCTCAGTGGTCATAGATAGCAAATAAGTAATTTAGAATATTGTGTTTAATTCTGTGGACTATAAGACACAGACCATTGCTACTCTAGGTGCAAAGCAATGTCCTACACTAAGACTAAAGGAGCTGAATCTCTTTAGTCTTGTACCAGGTTCCTTTGTCATATTCGCTGTTCAAGTATTCAGAATCCTCAAATTAAACGACAAATCGACAAATTAAACGCAAAGGACTTCAGCAGAATGAGCTGTGAAACACAAGCCAGAGGACACGAGCGTAAATTATGTATTTAAAATGGGGAATATGAGGCAATTCTTTGAAGAAAGAGTTGTGGGAGTCCTGGAATAAGCTACAGAATCATGTTGCTCAAACCAATACCCTGGCTTCTTTCAAGAACGAGATGGATGAATTCTCAAGTTCACTTCTAAAAACCAAATAGATTGGGTCAAATGAAAGTTCAACAGCCAAAACATTTTCATGCTACTACTCAGCCTGAAATTAACCTCTGCTATTTCCCTTGTTCATCTTCAATTTTAATGCTCATAAGCATTCAACACGATACATTCGCTTTACCATGACAAAAGTCAGCTGTATGGCTGTAAACCTAGTATGACAAGATGTTTGATATTTTGAAACAAACCGAAACACAACCTGCGTCATTCAAGTGACACTGGGAAAACCGACACAATGGAAAACACATGGAACTTAAGTGGATTCTGAACCGTACACAAACTATTGTTTATACATAGAGCTCAAGCTGCAAATAATATATTATCAGTTTTAAAGCCATTTCTGCAGGACTCTGTAACAAAATCCTGAAACGTCTGGGATTGTAATGGTTACGGAAGTTGTTACTTTAGGATAGTGATTCTCAATATTTATCAGGGATGGCCTAACAGGACTTGTCGGGAATTGAATACTTGGAATAGTGGTTATCTATAACAAATCAAGTCAACGACTGAAGTCTTTAGGGGATCCAACAAGGAATCAATAAGAAAACCACAAGGGATTCAAGTACCAGCAGTGAATGTGGAAATATCTTTGGGATAAGTGGAGTGGGTGAATTGGGAGGGGTTGTGTCATATTTTAGCAGGGCTAGAGGCTGATCTAACTAGGTGATCAAGAAGTAGCAAGAGACAGGCATCTTAAACGAGACCCATCTCCCTAAGACTAGCCAGCATTAAGCTGAGTAGGAAATAAAGTGTCTACAGGTGGCCTATTAAGTAATTTTTAGATTTAATGAATTGCTATCCAGGGGAAACGGGACCCTTAAAAATGTAGCCATGTGAAATGATTTCATGAAAGCAGCTGCACAATATGCACTGAAGATTCCTTCCTTAGCACAGGGTGAAGTGTGGCTCAGAATGCTTTTAACTACTGGCAGTCAGTAAAATGTGTTATATCCCCTTATATTTGAAGATAATTTGAATTTAATAATTACATTAACATTGAAGGATAAGCTCTTTAGCAATACATTATACAGAATTCCCAGTTGAAAGCCTGGAATCTACTGGTAGATGCGAAAAGATTTAAAAAACATTTTTCTGAGCTCTCTATAATTAGGATGAATACCTCTCAGTAAGTGTAATAAGCCAATTATCAAATCAATGACCACTGCAGGCCTCCACCAGAGGCCAGGGGTTAACATTAAAGAAAAGTTCACCGTTCCAACCCAGGCTAATGCACTATTCATTTGATTACAATCACTGCCACATGCAGCTCTTGTATTTTATTCATAATATTCTATTCCTTCAATAGTATTGGAATGAATGATTGCCACTTGAGAGGGGAATCAAGGGATTTTACTAGGAATAAAACAAGGGCAAGAATAAGTATTTAATAAAAGCTGCAAAAGGAATAGCTATAAAATCTTCTGCACATTAGATTTTGATTCAAGATTGGTCAAGATTGTGGGACACCAGGGTTACACCCCTACTCTTTTCGAGAAATGCACTGGGATTTTTAATGACTACAGAGAGTCAGGACCTCGGTTTTACGTCTCATCCAAAGGACGGCGCCTGTTTACAGTATAGTGTCCCCATCATACTGGGGAATTAGGATCCACATGGACCGCAGGGTGAGCGCCCCCTACTGGCTCCACTAACACCTCTTCCAGCAGCAGCCTTAGTTTTTCCCAGGAGGTCTCCCATCCAGGTACTGACAAGGCTCACACCTGCTGAGCTCCAGTGGGGTGCCAGTTGTGAGTTGCAGGGTGATATGGCTGCTGGCTATATATATATATAACAGATTACTTCAGGGCATGCCAGGTGCATGGACAGGATAGAACTATTTTCCTTTTGGAAGATCTTGAACCTGGCCTTCTCCACCTGATGTACATTATTGTTCTTGCTTTAAGTTCACTAGATGTTTTTTTAAAAATATTTTAAAAAAGCTTAGTATATAAAAAAAAGGTTTTGGACATTGGATTCCAAGATATCACCGCACACACAGGGCAAAAAAGAACCCAGGAAAACAGAATAATTTCTGGCTTGAAGGAAATGTCATATTACATGTGACTGGCTTAGGGAAACTGCATCTTTTAGTCATGTGGAGACTTGATTCAACATCATGAGAAGCACTGAGCAGGTTAAGTCAGGGGACCTCTACAAGATCTGCAGTAACGCAAGCGTTCGGGGATGCAACTAGAGTATTCAAGACAGAAAACAGGAAAACATGGCTTTTTACAGATGACTCTGGGAATCTGAAACCAGCTCCCTACTCTTGTAGTTAAAGCCGACTGATTGGGATGCTCTCAGAAACTGATCCATTTTTTTTTAGATCTAATCTACTAGGACCCAAACGAGTGAACTAAAGGCTCTCCCTTCACTTCTAACACCTCATGTTCTGAAACAAACATGAGAATTTGAAGTCTGAAACAACTAGTGAAAGTACAGTAAAACTAGCCGATCCCTTGCACAGCAAATCAGACAGAAAATTACGTCACCTTATGATTTAATTACAACTAACGAGTGAACACAGAACAACAAATACCTGAGTTAGGAAGTGGGCATATGCACCGTGTTGTTGCACAAAAATAGGGTCTGAAATAGTTCAACAAGGCTTGGCATAACTGTGAGGGTAAAAAAAGCCTTTCAGTAAAGTTGCGTGTGATCTGTTTCTGTCAAAGTTTTAAATCAACTTTCACCCTTCTACACCCCTGTATAATCAGAGTCCCTACCCTGGAGGAGATCTCTAACCTAACCTGAGTAGGTGCGCAGTGGTGATTGCGAAGCATCTGTCCTTATGGTAAACTCCTTTTTGAGCAGTATGATGGAAAGCATTTTTGTATCTTCACTTCCAGCACAAGTTTTGTTCTTAAAAGATACACATTCCAGCTTCCTGGTCTAGAAAGCATAATCACCACCACCACGTATTGTTCTCTTAAGATTCAACTAAAAACAATATGAAAACTATATCAATACGACACCTGCTTTAAATTTTAATACATAAGATTAACAGCCCAAAACAAATTGAAAACGAACCTACAAATGCATATTAAAAATATTAAACCAATTCTTGGATATAATAAATGTTTTTTCTATTGTTACATAAAGCATATAAAAATTGTTGCATAATAAACAAGGGTTGATTCCTTTACATAACCTTCATTCAAAAGCAACTCATAAGTCCTGTTTTCACAGAGAACAGCAGATTATTGTTCTGCAACTGAAAAATTATGGCCTCTTTAAATTCATAACTAACTCCTTCCCTCTTTCATTATACAGCACCTTTTCTCAATAAACACTAACATTCATGAAACCTCAAACAACAGCAAACGTCTACAGACCACCAGTCACCACTGACTGTACTCAAGTACTCTGTTCTGTCACAAATTGTAGTTCAATAGATAACTTAAAGTGAGCCTAGTGCTCTCAATATTTTAAGGGCAAGAATTCAAGTATTGTTAGGATATGTTCTCTATTCACATTCATCATTTATACAGTATCACCACATATATGCATCATGAACATACTGTATATGGTGCGATGACTGTGTTGAGCTGATTCCCAAAATCGTAAGAACTGAAGCTTTAGTTTCCATTAAGTAGTTTAAAATGTATTGAAGGGGAACTGTGTGATCTAAAAGGAAATAATGCTACAGAGTGGCCTCTTCAGTTTGTAACATTTCCCTGATGTTATTTACCTACAATGATGATCGCTCTATCAAAATGGGATCAGAATTCAGAATTCCAAAACCCCACAGAACGTGGTTACCTTTCAATATCCAAGGAGCAGTTTGACTCGATGTTCTAGTAAAGCCCCTAGGAATCCTTGGAGCACAATGCAGAGATCTAGAACACATGCAGTTTAGTGTAGAACTAGAAATGATCTAGAAGTTACAGATCTACAACACATGCAGTTCAGGATATGAATGCGGAGCCACCCATAAACCAAGCCAAACAGAAATCAGTACAGTATATACAGTTGTATGCAAAAGTTTGGACACCCCTGGCCAAATTGCATATTTTATTGATTTTCTAAGTGAAAAGAAGTTAACACAACCTCTGCAGCAAATAAACGTAAACTTGACATACTTCTGCAAATTTCAACATGGTTACTATTTTCTGAATTTAACAGATTGAAGAAAATAAAACAGTAAATGTGACATTTGCAAAAGTTTGGACCCCTTCCAGTTGATCCACAAGTGTCATTTTTTTGTAAGGTCTCAAAAAGTAATTGACTCATTTGGCCTTAATCTATGTCAGGTGATGAAAATTAAAGAGTTTAATAAATTCGAAGTCTTCAAACCTCTCAGGGTGTTGTGCTTACTCTAAGCAGCTGGCTGAGGATCAGAAAATAAAGATAATTGACCCTTCCAAAGCAGGGGAAGGCTATAAAGAAACATCTAAACGCTTCCTGCTTGCAATTTCCACTGTCCAAAATGTCACTAAGAAATGGAATTTAAGGGGAAGTCAAGACAAGATCTGGAAAACCAAGAAAAGTCTCTGATAGAACTGCTCATAGACAGGTCAGGAATGCAAAGCAAAACCCCCATATCACTGCAAAGGACCTGCAGGAAGGTTTAGCTGGGTGGGGAGTAGTGGTTCACCGGTCCACTGTTCAGCGTTGCTTGCACAAACATGATCTGCATGGAAGAGTCACCAGAAGGAAACCTTACCTGCGATCTCATCACAAAAAAGTCAACGTATGAAGTGTGCAATGCAACACTTAGATAAGCCAGAGGCGTTTTGGAGCCAGGGCTGTGGTCTGCTGAAGTAAAAATTTAACTCTGGCTACAATGACCAAAGGTTCGTTTGGAGAAAAAAAACCCCAAAAGATTAAGGTTTTGGAATGGCCTTCACAGTCCCCAGACTTGAATATTATTGAAAATCCGTGGGTAGATCTCAAACACGCAGTGCATGCAAGATGACCTAAGAATATTTCTGAACTAGAAGCATTCTGCAAGGAAGAGTGGGGAAAAAAATTCCTAAAGCAAGAATAGAAAGACTGACGACTGGCTACAAGAAATGTTTGGAGGCTGTGATTTCTGCCACAGGGGGTGTTACTAAGTACTGACTGAAAGGGTGCTCAAACTTTTGCGCATGCCACATTTACCTTTTTTTCCCCAATCTGTTAAATTCAGCAAATAGTAGTTGTACATGAAGATTTGCAGAAATATGTCAAGTTTAAGATGGTTTGCTGCAGAGGTTTTGTTAACTTCTTTTCACTTCAAAATCAACAAAACATGTAATTTGACCAGGTGCCCAAACATTTGCATACAACTGTATATTGAAAACACAATATTTTTAGGAAATAAGATACATCAGGTTAAGCTTTGAATTGCATTATGAATAAAGTACTGAACTTCATTCTCACCATTAAAGGTGATATTGTCTTGCAAACAGACATTGTAATGCATGGAAAGTGACATTAACAAACCTACACCTTTTTGTTTCTAACATCACAACATACAAAGGAGAAGATATTTTACTGATACCCACCCACTCAATTAACACACGCACCTTTCCAAATGTGGATTTTAATATAAATGAAACTCCTTTGCCAATGTCTGGCCTTGATTTGAAAGTTTCTAGTAAAAGGAAGCATCTCAAATGTAGTACAAAGAATAGACAGGCAAGGGATCACACCAATTACATTCAGATTGAATTTACAAAGTCGGTAAACCTTACAAATGTTAAGTGGTGTAAATAAAGTGGAGTGCAGGACATCTTTAACCTGCTTGGTTGTCTGCTCATTCCCACATCCAAGAATAATCCTGTTTGATCCTACAAAGAAAAGTCAGCTCACACAATGCCTGCCAGCAGAGTAAGGTGTCACTGCTTTACAGAGCAGTGAAGCAGTGCTTTATTATTGACAGGCACAGCTCACATGTAGCTTTACATTACTACAAGAGTTTTTGATTTTACATTACCCTCATCTTAATTTATTGAACAAAACCAAAAGCCAGGCGTTTTTGCAACAACTAAAGAAAAACATCCCCTCCCTCCCAGCAAAAAAAAACATGAGAACTTTTTAAACCTTGAATTCCCCCCCAACCCCTTCTTACACCTGTTATTTCTTTCCAAACAATTTAACTTATCTAAAAAAAAAAAATCAGAACATTCTTCCCAGCACTTATAGAATTTGCCCTCATTCTTACATTCTTTCAGGACCCTATTTTGACTTTGGTGTACTTATGCTTCTCAATAGTATCAGTGGGCAGCAATGCTTACAAAAGTAACTTGACTTTAGCATTATAAAAACACCTAGAAGCAGGGCCCATGTATAGAACAGGTAGAGTGCAAGTAGTTTAGGAAAATGTTTTTTTCCATGAAACCACAGCTTGATAATTTGCAGGTTGCAGCAAAATATAAACCTGCTTGGGACAAATCTTTTACAAAAATCCAATAGGGAGGTCAGCTTGAATGCCAAACTCTTACTGCCAAAATGTTTTGAAATCCTTTCCATTTTATGGGATTCCTTCTCTCCGCAGTTTACACCAACTGAAATGATTTGATGCCTATTTTGTTTCAGGAGAATTGTAGATCAAATCATTTTAACAGTGGTCGGAAATCACCATCAACAAAAGGGCCAAAAATGAAAGCACATGAGAGCCCACTGACAAGTTCCCTTTACAAAGACCTTTTGGAAGAGGTGTGAGGCAGCGGTGAGGAGTGGTTTCTTCACGAGCAGCGTTAATTCATGTTGTGGTCGCATTTGCACACCTACTGTAGTATGACACAGATATGGAGTTAAACTTCAAGATCCCAACACAGGTGCTACCCACTCTGATGCTACTGAGAAAGAGCAGTGCCACAGGTCTAAAAATTTTTACCTATTCCTGTGGCCATTAACGTTTTAGCCTTTTCAGCACATTTGACTATACAAGCCAAGTTTAGCAAAAAGTGCAGATGGCAAAAGGTATTTTCAATAGTTAACACAAGCAGCCTAAAAAAACGTTCTATTATGGACTGCAAATGTTGTACTCATCCACAACTTCAAATAATCCAGAGTATCAACAGAAGAAAAATCTATTTACAGTTTCAAATGTATTTTTTCATTAAAGAAAATGTCTTCTACCTTGCATCCATTGCAGAATTAGGCGTTTTTCATTATTTAACATCAAAAAGAGAAATTTACAAGAGGTTCCTTGGACATGTGAAGTATTTTTAGCAATGTTAACAGTCTTCTTGGTGCAAGTGGTATGTTTAATGTTCTTAAGTGGAAAAAGTACCTGAGCCAGATAAAGATGACTAGATGAGTCAATTCACTCTAGTCTTATAACCTGGGGGCAAAGAGCATATATTTTAGTATTGCTCACAGACATCCCTAACCACCTTCAAATCTCTAGCAGAGAGGAGCTCATGTGAGATAAATAAGACATCCACACATATTTTTCAAAACATTTAGCATCCTTCAAAATGTATTTGTTCTAAACTGATTTTCCATAATTAAAATTCAGAGTGATGTTGACTAGCAAAGAAAAATAAGTTACAAAAAAAGCTTTTCAAAACGGATACATTTTAAGAAGATTAAAGCACGACAATCTTACAACAGAATATAAACAAATAAAAATGAAACACAAACTAATTTTTCACACATTCAAAACAACGAAGGGTGGTGCTGACCTGCTCTGAAAAAGTAGGGCCGACAGATCTCTAGTGAACAGTGTGTAAAGAATTACACAAAAGTATCTTAGTTTACAATAAAGCAAAGTTCCTCATTCTTAGCTGTGGTATCCTATCCTGTCAGCATTTTAACTTTAGAAAACGGTCAAACGAGTCACTTGTAATAGGGGACAGTATTTGGATTTTGTTATCTATAAAACCAGTTAAGAAGTATTATTTTTCACGATTCATCTGTGTCGAGAATATAATAAAATAACACCTATTACCTGAATAGAAAATGTAGTGAGTAGTTTAACTAGAACTAGATGTTAAATGTAACACTAAACTGTCTTTTTTCCACAGTGCATATTATGTAAGTATAAAAGATGAAGCACATTTTCCTTGGGGTTAAGACGCTGAGGTCCCACAGCTGAAATATGTGATTTGGGTTTAATCTGTCTTTGAAGGCCCCAACATGCATTAATCCTTGTTATTGCACAATACATAAGGACCTGAAAAAAGCTTCAAAAAAGGAAGAGAACATAAAAAATTTAAAATAGGAAATAATGTCACTACAAAAATTTCCTTAATTTCTGCATATCTACATCATACCAAATGAATCCATGTTGGGTGCATTCCTTTCTTTTATTTTTAAAACCAGCTATCAACATGCATCCAACTGCCCACTTGTAGAAATGCAGTCAGTGGAAGTCTTCAGCGCATGGTGTCCATTGTTCCAGTCAACAAGTTAAAGTTCAAAGACTGAATGATCAAAGTGCTTATGTACTCAGTAGGACTTCTTTCTTCTAGGAATATTATAAAGTTGAACATTAGCATGTATCATCTGTTAAAAGAAGTAAAAATACATACGTGTTAACGGTAATGACATAAAAATGCAAAAAGAAAAGTGGCATCGCTTCCTAATCTCACTGCCACTTTTCCAACATGTTCCAGTAGGAAAATTTACAAGCATAAACCCAAGTGAGATCTAGGTTCTAAAAATCAGTGAGTTTTCTGGAGGACAACAAATATGAGCCTGAAAATAAGTAACCCAAAAGGTGTTGTGTCCGCAGTGCATTTTAGTTCCTGTTCCAAGAACACCAACATATGAAACCGAGAACACAACAAATAGAATCTATGTGGTAGTGGATTAAAATTGAGAACAGGGGTCACTTTACGTAAAAGGTTGAAGGAGGATGGAACAAGACACACAGGTAGGATGTTGAAGCCATTACCCTGGCTTCTTTCAAGAAATTAATGGATAAGATCCCCTGACAAATTAGCTACTAACTACCAAATGGGCTAAAGGAACATACTGGTGTTGACATTCTCAGTTCTCCTATGCAAAATGTTATGGAAGAACTCACCATGATACCACCATTTTGTTTTCTTTGGATTCTTATTACACGTTCTTACATAAAATGAGTTATCGGGAGGCCGCCTCTGTTGGGAGAAAGTAAAAATGAAAAATATTAATCATTAATAAGCTAGAAGAATGGTAAATCTAGACAACTAAAATTAGATCAGCACCAGCAACAAATTTTTTTATGAAGAAACAGAGAATGCACTTCACTCATGTAGGTAGTTTATAATGGAAGTTTACTTCATTTTATTTTTCATATTCTATTAGAAAAAACTAATGTGCTTTAGAACACTATACATCTTTTTTAAATTATACGAAAAAAGCACTTTTCCAGAGCTTACAACTGGTTGATTTTCACTCTTATTTTAAGACACATGATTTGCGCTCTGTGATCACCAGAGGGCACACTTCTCCATGCTGCTCAACTATAGGACTAAACCTTTCTGTGTGCTTGATGTTCCAAGAAGACAGAAAAGGTTTTCATAATAATGGAACAGACTTTCACAGCTCAGGATCTCCTTAAAACACTTCACATAAAGGAAAAGTTCTTCTTTTCTGATAATAACAAACATCAGTCTGGAAATGTAGTGGAACTTTTGAAGACCATCCTTAGGAATCAGAGATATTTCAGAATTCAACCTAGCATCCTTAAATTGAGGCAAATTGATGACATTCTTAATAAGATGAAGACGAAGAACATGTTAACATTGAAGAGCCTCCTTTCGATTGATTTTGAGATAGTTTGGTACCATGATAAAGGCATTCACATTTGTCTGATCTCATATATCCTGAATAATGCACGTGCAGCTCTGCACTCACAGCTACACTAAAGCCATCAGCTATTAATTTGGCTTGTCAGCAGCAGACAGGACACAGTCAGGACATGAACTGCTTCTGCACCTACATTTTCAAAACTGGTCGATACATTTACAGTGACACTTAAAATACCTAAACCGTTTAGATTTGATAGAGCTGACCATTATAATCATTGTTGTCCAAAAAACACCTCCCTCCCCTGGTGTTTGCCTGCTACTGTCTCAGATTTACAAAAAAAAGAAAGCCTTTTAGAAAATGTCACCAACCATCCAGCAGGTTCTTACAAATACAAAGTACAAGGCTTGAATGTTAAAGATTGTAAATGCATGTAGGAAAAGAAGAACTTAAAGGGGTTACTGAGTTGTTAAGTCTCTTACCTTTTCTTTACAACTGGAAAGCATGCTGATAATGCTAAGACAGACTGATTGTACTGAGAGAGCTGGAGACCAATCTTCTGTTAAAATGGATAGACAGATGTGTCCATTGCTGTAAACGTGAGGATGAACAGGTATATTTTCGCCAGTGAACATTACCTGAAAAACAAAATTCAACATCACACAGGGTATTGTACGATCATGATGTACAATTGAAAGATGAACTTGTATAGCACTCGGCTGGATTCATTACATTTTTAGCCTAAAAAACAGAAAATAAGGTGTGTACTAAGCATCTTAATACTCCTGGCTACATAAAGCCAAGGGATTAGGAGAAGAGAACGGAATACTTGCCTGGCAGCAGGACAAGGATTCACAGATTTTGAGGGGTATTATACACCTAACAGAGAAGTCTACAATTGCACAGTTTCGAATCTTAAAGGGTGCAAAACCAAACAAAACCTTAACTTCACATAATCTACACATGGAACGTGTCAAATTGAAGCATGCATGTTTAGTACTATAATTCCAACATCGTTTTACCACTGTATCACCTGTAGTGCCTTTGAATCTTAAGCAATATTAAACTACTCTTCATTTTTTTTAATTAATTGTTATAGCAAAAACGATTGTTATGATTATGATTTAAGCACATTCCAGAATATTAAAAACAAGTTCAGGTGGGTAGCTGCATCAGCATGCATAGGCTGCAAAGGAACAAGTAATAGGTTTATTTCACACTGAAAAGAGAAGAAGGCTCCACAGCTGTGGACTAAAACAATGACTAATTCCCTGGAACTGATTTGTATCCAATGTTTGATATGGACAGTTGTCATGTGACAATTTATTTAGCAATTATAGTATGCCCACTTCCTGTTAAGCATAGAGTCCCCAAGTGCATTACTTTTACTAAAAGAAGTTCATTCTGATAAGATTCCATGTGCATTGAGAATTAGACAGGACACCAATCAAGACATCAACTTGTCTGGTCATGTGGCATCTACCTTTGGAAAATATATTAATGTCTGTATCCGAGCACAGTTATATGACCGAGAACAAGACAGGACAGGAATGCTGTATAATCTACCCGTGGAACTGGGGTATGAATATTACAAAATCACACACAAATAAACGCATGAAACTGTGCAGGGCTGACAATAAAAGGGACAAACTTAGTATTGGATTTTTAAGTTAGAATGTAAAAAGTATTACTTATTTCAATCCTTTGCCACATTTAGGCACGCACTTCCTCAGAACTCAGCAGTTCAGGCTACAACCAAGACCTCTATGTTCTCTGCTACATTCTTCTGTAACTCAAACCACTTTATATCCATTTCTTCACATAGATACCTCAAAATTTAGTTTTTACCTTTTTATTCTATTTTGGAGCAGCACTTACATTGCACTTTCAATATTATTCAGTTTGCCTTATTGTAGTTTTAAGAATTTAATTTGATTATAATTGTAATATCTTGTCTATTAATACTAAAGTAACTTCACTTAATGTAAACCTTGGCATTCACTGTAAATCATCCTGGATAAACACAGTATACTGTTAATTTGTTTAGCAGACATCTTACTACCATCATTAAATAATAATAACCCTTACACCTATATAGCAGCTTTAAGAAAACTGCACACAAAGAGCTCTACAGAAAATGGACTGTAATGAAGGACTCCCCTTCACCACCAATGCATTGCCCCCACCTGGATGATGCACTGGCACCCAAAGTGCACCAATACTCTCCCCACACACCAGCTTTCAGTGGGGAGGAGAGCCGAGTGATGAAGCCAGTTCAGAGATGGGGGTTGTTAGAGGAGGCCATGGCTGGTAAGGGCCAATGGGAAATCTGTCCAGGACACCAGGGTTACACCCCTACTCTTTTCGAGAAACGCACTGGGAATTTTAATGACCACAGAGAGTCAGGACCTCGGTTTTACATCTCATCCGAAGGACAGCACCTTTTTTACAGTATAGTGGCACCGTCACTACTGAGGCATTAGGACCCACATAGACCGCAGAGTGAGCGCCCCCTGCTGGCCCCACAAACACCTCTTCCAACAGCAGCCTTAGTTTTTCCCAGGAGGTCTCTGATCCAGGTACTGACCAGGCTCAATCCTGCTGAGCTTCAGTAGGCTCCCAGTTGTGAGTTGCAGGGTGATACAGCTGCTGGCTATACGTGTAAAAAACACTACTCAGAGTATAATGCCTAGGAATGAAGCTCTCCGATTCAATTTGTGATGTTACAAAATAAGTCTCAAAATCCAGATTTAGCTCCTGCATCAGTAGCCAGATGCTTCATTCTTTTTCAACATTGGATGCACCCGATGCTATTCTCTCCTTCTGAGCTTCTGGCATGTAGTACTATAATCTTCTTTACTACCAGAGTTACTCGACTTAGACAACTCCACAATTTGAAGTATAATTTCAACACTTCATAGTGCAATGACCATGATGAATGATGGATCAGATCCAGAGCCCAACTGCCTTAGCATAAAAATGTTTTTTAAGCCTAAGTAAAAATTTATAATGCCATAACCACAAATCTCTTTGAAAATATCAAAACAAGCTGTACTGTTCTATAACTGAATAAGCAACAAATTATACAAGGCAAAGGGCAGTAAGATATGAATTTTATGAGGAGGTGCAAAATATTCTGTTTCTGCTGCCTAGGAACAAGTAGTACCCGGGATGCAACAGAGAACAAAAACTAAATATGTTAGGTAAATCTCTAGCAGCAAAAAGGAGGACAGACAGGTTTCACTGGTCAATGGCTGAAACCTGTTACACAAAACAAAGCAATGCGGTCACGTCTTCAGTCCCCCATTGTTCATCCACTTTCCACCCAAAACAACACATACGTCCAATACCTTATGCCAGAGGAACAAATGAGAGGACGCCATTTGTCCCATCTAGCTTATAACTGGTAGTTAATTGATCCAAGGATCTCATCCAGCCCTTTCCTGAAAGAAGCCAGGGCATCGGTCTCAACAACCTGGCTGGATAGCCTTTTCCAAACTCCTATAATCCTTCAGGTAATGAAGAGCATCTTCTGCCTTTGAAAAGCCATTTCAGAAAATAAGACATCTGCTGTGCACTACATCGTGATCACTGTGACCCATAAGAGAGACAAACGGTTATTGTTATTGGACAATACTGGATCATCTTGATGTCCACTAAAGCATGCACAGGAACACAGACCTTACCACTATCTGGAGAAACAATTCACTTCCACCGCTACAACTCAAAAGAAATATTTTAATGTGGAGGACACCAGCCATGTATTTGGTGTGTTATTGAGAATGCAAGTTTCTTTTTTTTTATCTAAAGCTTTATTTCAGGAACTTGCACCTCCCGATTTGCTCTGCGCACACTATACCGCTTTCAATTTTTCCCCAACAAGGATTGTATCAGGCAGGAAAGCAATGGAACATAACAGACATAAATGCCACAAAACGGGTAGGATGTTGAAAGAAAAAAAAAAAGCATTGACAAATTGCTTTACAAAAAAAGCAGTAAGACCAGTTAAGGGGCTAGCGCTCAGTTTTCAAAAGGAGGTGCTGAATTATAACCTATACACATAGCATGGCTGGATCCGCTCAATCTGAAACGAACTACATATCAACCACTGGTTTGTGTTGATGTTGCTGAAGCTCAATCAACGTGTGCAGATTGTGTAAGAACAAACGAAGTCTAACACATCAGAGGAGGAGACTATTCAGCGCCACTTCCTCTTTTGGTTGTCAATAGCCGACTTGTTTCAAGAACCGCACCTAGGTATTCATTGAAAAGTCCCCCTCAAGCAAGCTTCATAAGCATGGTTATGTAGTTCCCCCCCCACCCCAAACATTTTTTGGTACAACTTCTACTTTTGGTCTCAGAATGCATTTCCTATTACTTTCCATTTCTACCCTTGCTTTCCCATTTCAGAATTCTAGAGAAGCACATCATGTTTTCTCGTATCCGTCTCCGTTACAAGATTCCAAAGCACAGGCCTGGATAGCACAAGCATGAGTCTAAGTTATGTCACCAGCCAACTGCTAAGCAATGGTGGGCAAGGGTGGCACAGTCGAGTGCCAGCAGGGACGGGATTGGAATGACGCCGTCAGGACTCGGTATTCCGACATGCCGCAAGAGCTCCGGGCCCGGTGAGAGACGCACCACTCTGGGACCTGCAGCTTGCTAAAAAGATGACTGTCATGGTGGGTGGGTCAGAGGAGCACAGCTGGGCTATTCTTACGCTCTCCAGTACAGTCCTGGACTGTACGGGAGTCGCCACGACAAAAGGACTGGCGCATCTAGATAACTGATATAGGTCATCGGTAACAGCATGTGAATAACAGGCTGAAAACTATTCCTTTTCAAAGCCAGCAGCTTCTTTGCTGTCAAGTTGGCGCTTGAATAGCACACACAATATTCTCAGAGTCCTACTACTTATTTCTTATTTTGGAATTGCTCAGGATGATTACAACCTTATATTCTTCACTACGTACCCACTGGAAATGTGCTCTATTGCTTTTTTGCACCAGGTACTGTGCACATGGATACTATTTCATTTTCCACGGAGCTGCAAGCCAAGATCATTTACATCGCCGGTCAGAAATACTAATCCGCACCTCAAATAGTCCATATAGTTGATGTCCCCAAAAGGGAAGCAAGGGCAAGAAACTGCACTACAGCTGCAGTGCTGGTTTTATGCTGAAATGAAAGAATACCCACGCCTGTCATTTCAGCTGACACTTAAACCCCAAGGAGGACACAAGAGACATCAGGCGTTTGAGGAAAACCGCTCTGCATGGCAGCTTGAGAAAATTAATTCTTCTTTAAAGGTAATTACAAACATTTTTTTTTCCACAGGACAGAAAATGAAAATGCCTTATATAAGTGGGAAAAAATAAGAACTTCTTATGAGAGACGGTGATGAGTCTTTGAAGCTGGTTTTCTGCTTAAATTTTACCAGGAAATTACAAAGGAGGTTCCAAAACTAGATGTAACTCCATCTCTCCATTTTCTAAAAGCTTAATCTAATACTGAAAAGCAACAGGCACAAGGCAGGGTACACTGACAGTCGCCAGTCCATCACGGGGCACAGACAAGCACACACTCCCTTCAGGGTGGGTTTTCCCAGAAGCCAATTAACCTACCAGTATGTCTTCTGACTGTGGGAGAAAACTGGACCAAACTCCATGCAGATGGCACCCCAGGAATTGAACCCAGGGCCCCAGCAGTGCCATTGTGCCTTTCATCTACCACTGAATATAACTCAAAAAGTCCTGATTATCAGTTAATTGGAGAGTTAAGATGAAACAGTAGACTCTTGGCTAAACAGGTCCTGAAACTGGGGAGCCCAACTTAGAGAGAGAAAGTAACAAGCTGTCCTACAAGTAAATGCGGGATGAACTGACGTTGCAAGTTAAAGTGCTAAAGTTCTAGAAGAAATTACAACCGCCATGAAAAAAGAATTGTATCCTTGTACTTTTGCAAACAGCTCAGACAGGCACTGCAACATTTTCATCATATTTTTGGTCCACTCTGCCAACGGCTTGAGATGTTTTCTGATGGTATGATATACAATTCATAGATATACTTTGTTTAACAGAGCAAGGCCCACCCTTGCTTAGTAACAAGGAAACAAAAGTAAAACTGGGAGGATGGCATTTCATCCTCTAAAGATTTTCAAGACAGATTTCACTTTTTCATTTGCATGTTTCCCATGCTTTAGGAACGCAAAGATAATTTAAAAAGGAAGAGAGAGAGCAAGTAATAGGATATGGAGACAGCAAATAGCAAGTAGTTGTAAGAAACTTTAGATATTAATTACTTTAGATATTAAAAACTTAATTTATTTAGCAGAGCTTGATAGAGTCAAGCACCTTCAGTAAAAGGGTACATCTGCAGTGCCCTACCTGGGATAAAAAACCCCATATTTCCACCTGCGTGCCCAGAGAAGTAGATGCGTATTTCGGTGTTTTATATAGTTTTACGTTATTCAATAGCAATGCAAAACAAAAATAAGCAGGCATGAGCAGAAATCAGTAAGTGATCCTCTGAGTACTCTTCACTTCTGAAGCAAGCCCTTTGGATTGGGGAGAGCTCTTTTACATACTACCTGTAAAGCAAGAAACCAGATCTGTAATAATTCATAGAATAAAACTTCTAACAATGTTTCCTTTAAGACGCAGATAAGTTTATCCATCATACAGAGGGCAGACATGTCATATGCATTCTGCTCACACAGTCAGAACTACTTTTTCTATGTAAGGGTGGGAATATACATGTCTTTTTGCACGAAATGCAATTTTGACTGTTTTGTGAATTCTAAAAGCTAATCAAATGCCAACACGGCACAAACAAAATAGGATATAAACAGGAGGAAACTGAGAATATTTTTATATTTTAAAGATTTTTTGTGTGTGTGTGTAGGGAAGGGGGATGGTTGCAAATCCTTTAAAGGCTTATAAAGGGTCACTCACTGAAAGGCTCAAATATACTTTAAAAGGAAAAGAAAATGTTATAGGCCTGCCCAGTTCAATTATTGACACCAGCCTTACTTTCAAATCGTCTCCATCTGGCTTTGGGTAAAGTGAAGTTTCCGCATTGCTATGGGGTCATTAGCAAGACAACCCAGACAGACTGAGGAAAGATTTTGGCTTCCTAAAAATGTCAATTAACTCCAAGCCAAAGCTGGCGTTATCAGACAGCACTCGTTCCCTCTCCTGCGTTATACTTCCAAAGAGGTGCGGCCTTGACACCGATAAGACAACCTCCTTATCAACATCTGTCAAAGGGTTTTGGAGGTGGAAGTTCACTGCTCAGGGATGCAACAAAATCAGAGGCTGAGAGACTGCAGAGAAGACTTTAGAACAAAGCCATGCTCAACCCCAGCCCCTCGGTATACCACTGCTGTTTCTAAACTTCTGCATAGGCACATAAACACATGCATTATATTCACTGATACTTCAATCCTGCACACAATCTGGCAAGATGTTCTTTTTTTCCCCCCCATAAAATGCAACAGAAAAAAACAAAAGTTCTTACGAATTTGTGTTCTTTAAAAATAATGAATTACACTGAAAGAAGAAATTTGATTTTGCTGATTAGTAATGTTTCTTCTTGCTCTGAAACAGTGCTTGGAATTCAAGTATGCATCAGGATATCTTTATACTAACCTTTTCACCCTGTGGTTTAATTAATTAATTTAATTAATTCAGGTTTGATTATTAGGTTTATATGATGTTGTCTAAGAGCAAAATTTCTTATCAACACCTATGGGTGCAGATCACGATTAACCCATCAGAAGCACTGCTTGAATAATGTGAGCAGTAACTGATGAATAGGCACTAAACCCCAAGAATCAGTTTCCCCAGGGATGGCAATTACTGAACCATCATCACTGACAATATCACTGCAGCCGCCTCAGCGTGCTCAGGAGACACAATAATCCACACAGAGCCAGCAATGCTGCCGTTTCCTTATTAAGTACCAATGACAACTTTCTGATACCTTAAACATAAAATTACAAATGTATGCATTTTATATTGCTCAACATTTAAAAACAATAGTGCCTTACTAACCACTAATGATACTTAAGTCACTTTCTAATCCTAATGTGACTTGACCTCTCTTGCCAGATAATACTTTAAGAAAACATTCTAAAAACATTTGTTTTAAAATGTAAGTCCTACCTGAGGTGAATCAAAGGGATATCGACTACTGAATTTGAAAAGCAGCTGAAATTTTTCTCCTTCATAGAGTGTACCGGGGGCTCCTTCCATATCTACAATCCACCTGTAGAAAAAAAATTCAATTACTACGGTTTTCAGTAAGAACTCATGATTCCCTAAAAGGTGAAAAGTAGATTGTGCAGCACTGAAACGTGAGACTCAGAAAGCTGCTAATTCCTAGTCAGGGTCAAGGAAACCTGAAATCCATGGACTAGAGAAATATAAACCTATTAAACCCCACCCCCAAAGGCACTCAGGGTCAGTTTCCACCTGAACTGGATGTACTCTTAATGATCTTGAATCATCTTGGAAAGTATACACAGTACAGGCCTGGTAAGGCTCTAGAATTCAGGGTCATCAAGTCTAAACCTTCACATTTCTTTTATACATCTTACTCAGTAACCGCAGACAAGCACGGAATATCCAAAACAAACAAACCCGTTTTACTGTTTATTTCTTCAGGAGACAACTCCACCAACATGTCTACTAGCTTTGATAAAAATGTTAGACTGAGTGAACAAATCTGAAAAAATCTGCACACGTTTTCATGAGGACATGGCCTAGTATTGTTTTCTTTTTCTTAAAACAAATTAGAAAAAAAATGAACGATGTAAAAAAAAATCTATTACTACTTTGCAGTTATGCAGACAATAAAAAAACAAAACAGCATGGTACATTTCCCTGGACGCATCACAGAGGCTTAAATAGTTCATGTACTATAGGCTACAGGCTTGGAACTAATACTTTCTGCTATATCCTTTTTGATGTCTTAATCCAAACACTATTTTCACAGATCTCACAACAAAGACCTATTACACAAGAACAGGGCACCAGTTACATATGCATAATTAGGAATGGGTTCCAGGTTATCCAGTAATGTACAAATAAATCATTTGGATGTAAAAGGACAATTCATAAATTAATCATTAAATACCACATCATGCTCCTGGTCAATATTTAGAAAGTTCTGTACAACACTTTTAATAAAGTGGTTAATATTACCTATTATCAGAATCAATGTAAGCAGCTAAGGAACACAAGCTCAAATCAAGTCTAGCCAGGTCACCAGGAACTCATGAACAAAAGGTATGCCAAAGATGCTCTCTCAAGAAACCGAATAAATATTGGACTGAATTTACTATTTAATTGCAATATAGTCCATGAAATAAGAAAATGTATACGTTTTGAGGCATGGTAAGACCATCTCTCAAAAACAATCAATCCAACCCTCATTCACAATGAACTGGTCATTTGAGGCCTTACTGCCACTCAATAAAATATTGAATACCTGCACCGAAGTCTCAGTTTCCACTCATTTACTACTGAATGTCTGCTTCTCAAATACACCGCCTTTGGAAGCACATCTTCAAACGTGCAAACATGTCTCAAAAAAGGTTTTAAGTAATGCTACAGAAATAAGTGTGACTGTAATTTTCACTTGCGCTGTGACCTGTATTGGCCATTTCAGGCACAGTAGTGATGATTAGAGAGCATTACAATACAGAACTCCCAAAGGTCATCTGTGCAAAGACTGTCAATTAAAGAACGTATCCCCCTTCGCACTTTAAAGATCAAAAGAGATTAAATAATTTTGGTACTTACTATGCTGTGCAAAACAAACAGGAAAAAGATATTTTAATTGAAAAAGTCAGATAACAGTCTGCTGAATTTGTCAGGATTTGACGCTGCATAATACATATGCAGTTCTCTTTAAGGATTACAGGAGCACAGAACAAGTTAGCCAGCCTGGGCATCACAGTCAGTCATGAATTTCAAGTAACCAAAACGGTGAAAACATTTAATCAATATCCAAAATATCACAGCACTTACAGTAGAGTTAACATTCTTGAGGTTTACGGGTTTAAAGCGCTTTGCAAAAGTTGACATTTGGAAATAACTACACAGCGTATAACCTCTTATTTTGTTTTTCTACAAGGTGTTAAATATGGAAACAAATAGTATTGAACATATGTAGCAATAAGTGTTGTTTCACATTTGTCACAAATAAAAGACAAAATAAATGATCCTCAAGGTCCTTGAACTTGTAAGTTGACAGGGGGAGAGGGCACTGGGTGGTCATATGGCTGCAGAAAAGTTTCCCGAGAAGCTCACAAATGGGAAGAAGATACAGGCTGGAAAAAAAAGTCTTCAATGCAGATGAAACGGGCTTGTCCTGGAAGAAAATCCAGCTTCCAGACATGCATCTCGAAGACGGACCAAGTGATGTTACTTAATGTAGTCATGTGGCGAGTCCCACGATAAAGCCAAGCTTGCTGTACCTGTCCTGTCTGCACACCCCAGGGCATCGCACAGCAAGAAATCCTCTTGCTTATTTCATGGCCGTCGGATGAGAAGACTTGGGTGACTATGGACAGATGGGTGCTCGCTCATTAGCGCGAAGACAGAAATGTCAGTGCACAAGATTTGGAATTTGCCATACGGCCCAGTCCCCCAAAATGAATTTTTCATGTCACGGCCCAACTCTGTCTGGCTAATCTTCGCTTGTGAATGATTGAATCCAAGAATGTTGAAACCTTCTTGTATTTTTCTGCAAACACACATGCATATAGAGCAATTTTGATTTTGTGGACGATATTTATGACAAAAACGCTCAACAACGGTTTTCATTTTAGTTAACGATACACATGAGCTATAATCCACACTGATGATGACAAATTAAATTGCTTTGCATTTTTGACAATTAAAATGAGACAAAATATCTTATTTGACTAAAACTCATGCAAAAATGTATTTAATCAGATGAGGTTTACCATTTAAGCATTTACCTACTGTCTGGCTAATAGCAGGCTGGCTGTAATGGGTATAATCCCAGGACTGCGACTGTAGGTGGACTGCACAGTGTCTCGGGGCTAGAACTGGGGTGTGTTCTTTCCCTCTTCTTTTCTGTAACGGTCCTTAATTTCCAGATGGTCTTTTCTAGACCCCATATCACAAATTAGATTAAAAAAAGCAGAGCACTATGACAATAAAGAAAAGTCATGAAGACTCCAAAAATATTTTCTTGTTATATTCCATGCTTTCAACTAAAAGAAAAAAATTCTTGAGTCTAGCAGTACCTTCATACCCTACAAGCAAACCAAAAAAAGCAATTGTAAAACTGTTCCTGAAGACAAAAGAACAGGACACGGCTACATTACGAGATGAAAAAAAAAACATTTTAAAACACCATCTGGACCAACAGCACCCTCACAACTCTGCATTATGATGTTCTAATGTGAACATCCATTTTCACATTAGAGCTAGTCAAGTTAAATAGAAAACCTGTTATTTTTGCAGAAGACTGTAGGGTGAAAGCAGTTTGTGGTCCTTCTACTGTACTTCGGAAGACCAACGAAAACACTCCACTATTCCAACTCGGTACAGTGAAATAAAATCAAATTCAAATTCCATTTTAAAAAGATTTGTTTAATGCTTTTTCTCAAAGTCTTAATGTAAACTAGTTCATGGCTCTTAAATTTTCTTAGATTAATAGATAAGGTCTCTTATCTGTTTTATGCACTTGTCCCTTGCTTAGTTTGGTAAGTGAAAAGTCGCCACAAAATTCTATATATTTAAAGGCAATCAAATTAGGACAGTCTTAATTGTAAATTAAAAAAAAGACTAAACTCTAATTCCTTAATACTGCAAAGACTACATATAAATTAAAACTAAAACCTTTATACTTAAAGGTACAACTTAATTAAACAATTAAACTACATTAAAAGGGTGACTAAAATGTGACTACGTCTAACAGACATTTCAGTCAACTAGACTAGGACTATGACCATGTAAAACAATGACTTAACAGGGATAAAGAGTGATGTTTCTTCTGGTGCTCAGTATGGAATGAATAACATCTCAAGATTTTCAACACGGAAGGGCAAGAACACAACCCCCAGCATCACTTCGATATTGCAAGTGCTCAATATCACAGCACCAGCAGCCCCGGCATCACTTTTGGCAGGAGAATCGTGCTTTCACAGGAGTCACTGTGATAATCAGCCAGAGACAGGCACAGGAAAGCCTGCACAGCATAACAGGATTCAGGACAACAGCTAAATAAAGCACACAGCGGCAAAGGCAGGACACACTGGGACAGCTCAGGCCACACCACTGCTCCACATAGGAGCATTACACAACAATTCCTTGAGGATGACTGCACATGCTGAAACAAGTATAACCAGATCCAATTTTATTTCGTGCCCGTTTGTGAGGACTAGTGCATGCATATGGATCCACTGCCCACTACTTAAACCGATGACTTAACACGGATAACGAGTTACGTTTTCTTTGGTGAAGGATTTCGATCATATATGCACCCTTTCCTTTGTCTCCATGATTATTTCCAATATTTTACACCTCAAGATTTCCAACATGGGAGGGCCAGAACACAACTCTTCTGTTCTGTTATTCTGTACTGTTCCACAACTCTTTACATATCCTGAATTTCATTGAAATCGGAAGCGGCTCTTTCTTAGCCATTGCATGAACAGCCCCCCAC